TCAATGACTCTCTCATCATTGACGTTTCTCTCTCTCTCTCTCCCTGTCCTTTCCTCTCTGAAATCAATAAAGATATATTAAAAAAAAAAAAATGGCTTGGTCTCTGCCTGTCTGTTGTGTGAGCACCTTGGGGGAAGCCATCCAACCTTTCTGAGCCTTGTTTTCCCATGTGAAGAATGACTACGGATGAAATGAGGGTTAGCAACAGTGGCTGGCAGACGTGAGCACTGAGCGCGGAGAAATGATGGTGATTTCTCACTTTTTGTATTTTGTGGCGCTGCCCACCCAGATTGCCCCAATATGTGAAAACACAGACGAGAACACAGAAGCCTGAAACATAATATCCAGCCAGTTAAACATCTTACGTAGCAAGAAAAATCAACTCAGCTTTTCTTCACTCCGCACACACTCCCAGGCAGCACGATGGTCCAGCTACAGGGCTGGAAACAGTCACGAGCCACCACTACGAAGGTTAACGACCTGCCACACCAGCAGGCGTGGACTCAGCCCACCACGTACCAGGATGGAGAGCCTCTCTTAACGAGCGCGGGAGGACTGAAACTCGCCTCGAGCCGCACAGGGCCTCCATCGGCATTGCTTACATCCGTGTCCCCCGGGACTTGCACAGCGACACCCCAGGGGCACCGAGAAGCATCGCTCAAGTACACCAGGAAGGTAAACACTTCTCCTTGTCCTCCTCGAGGACATAAACATGCTCCACCAAAATGAAAGGCAGTCAGCTTCTTGTATCCTCACCTGCATAAAGCACCACCTAGGAAATACTTAAGAATCTCTAGAGATCTCAATGTAACACCCAGAAGGGGAAGTTACCTGAAGAAGGAAGACTTAATGCATAATCAGAAAGAATCTGCACATCCAATTATGAAGTAATGGTTAGATAAGATACGGCACAGTAATACAATGCAAATTTATGCAACCACTGAAAATGACATTTATAAAGAGGCTGCAATAATATGGAAAGTATCTGTTACGTTCTATGGAAAATCAGGATGCAAGATTATACTTATGAAATAAATTCAATTTTAAAATAATCCAATTTAAAAAAGAATGGGAAACAATGCTAAGAAACACACCATGACGCCAACAGTGTTTGCCGTCAGAATTATGCAGAATTGTTCCCTCTCTGTTTATGTTCTCCAAGATTTCTAAAAGGAACATACATTATTTATGTAATACAAATTATTTTAAAAACAGAATTTCCACAGCAGTTTTATAGAGGAAAATCAGAGTGTCTAAATGTTCTGCATGCGCAAGAACTGCCTCCTAACGTGTCCGTGGAGGGAGGAACCTCTGAGGGCCCCTCCTGTGGCCAAGGCAAGTCCACCACAGGGACATCTGCAGTCCCCACACAGCTGTCCTTGGTCATGCTTAGGAGCAACAGCTGCCGCAGTGACTGACATTTAGTGAGGACCTGCTACCTGCTGGCACTGGGCCAGGGCTTTAACGCGTCACCTCATTAAACAGTCACCAAAACCTCCTGTGCAGTGCCGCTGTTGTCCCTGCTTTACAGACAAGCAAACTGAAGCTAAAAACTCTTATCCCAGCTCAGTGTGCCTTCCCCTTGCTATGCTCAGCCACCATCCTTTCTTCTAAAGCTATTTCATACATATTTCACTCAACATTCCCTTAACTCACAAGTGCTGAGTGTCTGCCCTGAATGAGGAGGACCCTGCCTCGAACACACCACTGGACCTCTGCAACGACAACGTGCTCTCCTGAGTCCTCAGTCTCTATGCTGGTCGGTCTCCATCCACACATACTAAGAAGTCATTTGGGAAAGGCACTGCTAAGTCACGTCCGCACACACTGACTACCTCCTAGGTAAAAGTATCGTCCCAAACGATGAAAGACAGAGGTGGACAAGACACGGTCCCACCCCCCAGGAGCCCATATCTAGTGAGAGAGATGACTCTCAGGACACAATGCAATGGCGCTGGACTGAGAACTAAGTGGGGTGATGGGCAGGGGAAGCGGAAGGAGCTCTGACTTCCGCAGTAACGGGGACCAGGAACAAGGTCAGAGCACGCTCAACGGGAACGCGGCAACACCGCGGGCCTGCCGCAGAACCAAAAAGCCCAAGCTGCGTGAAACACGAGCGTGTAGATGAGCAGGCAGAGCTGGGCTCAAAAGGCAGTGTGAGTCGAGCCGGGGCTGCCTGAGGCGGAGCTGAGGCCCTCCTGGGGGAGGGGAGGTTCTTCTGGAACAAGGGCAGGATTTCACTTGCATTTTCAAGGAGATAGTTCTGGCTCCCATGTGACAAATGGATCAGAAAGAGCACAGCCAGGTAACAGGGTATGATGTTAAATGTTCCCTGCACCAATCCAAGACATAGGTGCTGAAAGTCATGATGTGGAAGAGAGACAAGGAACCCATACGAGAAAATTCAAGCATTAAGATGAATGTAAGATTCATCCAAGCAGTTAATAGGATACAAGGGATAAGTAGGGCAATCTGGGATGACTCCGAAACTTCTAAGTTTCTAAGAATAAGAATATGGCGCCCTGCCCTGTGTGGTTCAGTGGCTGGAGCGTCGGCCTGCACACCAAAGCACCTCGGGTTCAATTCCCAGTCAAGGGCACGTGCCTGGGCTGCAGGTCCAACCCCCGCCCTAGTCAGGGTTCGTGCAGGGGGCACCCCATCGATGTCTCTCTCACATCCATGTTTCTCTCCCCCTCCCCATTTCCCTCCACTCTTTCTAAAAAAATCAATGGAAAAAACATCCTTGAGTGAAGATTAACCAAAAGAAGAAAAAATAAAAGAAAATGGTTACACCCTCAAAGGAAAGGTAATTGATTCAAGGGAGGACCCAGAGTCTTTAGGATCCTATGACCTTCAGGAGACACACCCAGCCTTCTCTTGGAAATTGAAGGAAGTATAACTGTGTGCAATCATGAGCAATTTTTATTAAAGTATCTTTTGAATATATCAAGAGCTTAACCCTTAAACCCCCACCATAAACCATCAGAGAGCTTTTTCAATGTATGCTCTCATTTACCCACTTTGTAGTTTCTGGTTTTTAATAACCTTGTTTTTCTTAACTCAAATAATTGCTTTTATTACTGATTTCATAATTTTTGGAAACCAAAAGTTTCTTTTCCAGCTGCTCAG